GGAACCACACCAACTCCCCCCAGAGCCACGGCCCCGCTGGCAGAGCCCCGCTGAGGGGGCGCCCCCCGCCCCCGCCATCCTCGGGCAAACCTGAGCCCCTCCCAGCTCGGGGCCTCGGCCTGGAGCCAGTCCCTCCTCAGAGTTCACGCGAGTTAGTGGCCCTTGGTCTTGAAGGCCAGGCCTGCCTTCTCTGCTTCAGCTGCAAACCAGGAACCATAGAAAATGGCAAGGGACCCTATTTGGGGACAGACCCAGAGAGAGGAAGAAAAGCCATCCCCCAACCCCTGCGCCCCTCACACCGCTGGGGACCCCCACGGCCACCCGCCCCCGCCCCGGCCCTGGTGCACGCACCTGGGCTGCTCTCGCCTCCTGCTCCCGCTGCCTGGGGCTCACCTCCTAGGGGCGGGGCCTCCCGACCGCCCACCCGCGCACCTTCCACACTGCGTTTGCCTGGGCTCCTCACCTACTGTCCTGCCTACGGGGCCGTGAGCCCCAGTGTTTGTGAAACACACACGCCCACACACATGCGTGTGTCATCCTGGCCGTGGGGTCTGGGAGGCGGCGTGTGGAGCTGCACACACACGTGCACGCACCACACGTCCGGCGCTGCATGCCAGACGGACCGAGAGAGGCCGGCCGGTGCCGGCCTGTGCTCCACCTGTCCCGGCCGGCCCGGCTGCAGCCCGCTTGGGCGGGGGCAGCACACACGGCCTTCATTGTGCTCCCAGGTTTGTGCCAGAAGGGACGGAACTGCAACAGACCCTGGCAGAGCCACAGTAAGTCAAAGGGCGCGGGGGTCCTGCTGCGGCCACTGTGGCTGCCAAGAGGACCAGGCACTCCCACTTCCTGGACGCGGGGAGCACCCCCACCGGCCACAGGCCCTGCCCCGCCCTCCCGAAACCTTGGCCCCTCTACTGAGTCAGGTCAGGTGGGGCCGGGGTGCTTTATCAAGGGCGTGAGTCTGGGGACCCTCGACCGCAGGGCGGGGCGAGAGCAGGCCGCCGTGTGCAGGTGGATGGAGGGCCGCCGCCTCAGCGTAGGCTGCAGACCTGCCCGCACCCCGCACCCCCGCGGGGCTGCGCCTCCCGGTCTCGGCCGTGTCCTGGGCCCAGCGTTTCTGGCAGCCGCTTTGCTGACCCTGCCGAGCACGAGGTCCCCAGCCCCTCGCCTGCGACGTGCCCCAGGTCCCTCCCAGACCTGCCGTCGGCCTGCTGGCCACACGATCTCCGGGGTGTGGCAGGCGGCCCCCACAGCGCTGGGGTCCCAAGGCAGACCTGAGGCAGTCAAGTGGGGCGCACGTGAGAGCCCCGCTCTCTCGGGGGCCTGGGAACCCTCGGGCATGGAGGACCCGCCGCGGCCCGTCTGCGCAGGGGCCCTGTGCCCGTTTCGCTGGCCCCTCCCACACGCGGCCGGGTGGCCCTGCCAGCACCCGAGGCCCCAGGACCGTCTGGCGCAGCCCTGGGCTGGGCCCCCACCCCAAGCTCATGAGCTGCGTGGGGACGGGGCATGGGGGTGGGGCTAGGACAGGCACCAGGGCAGGAGCAGGAACCCCTGGGAAGGGCAGGCCTGCGCCCCAGCCCTGGGGCCCGGAGGGTGGGCCTGACCTTGCTCGGGGCCCTTGTGGCTTCCACCCCATCCCCCGGCGGGGTCAGCGCAGCCTGGACATTTGAGGGCAGGGGGCTGGGCCTGCTCAGGCCAGCGGAGGCCTGGCCGGGGCCTCTCAGGGCAGCTTCCGCAGCCCGCCGTGACTTGCAGAGAACGGCCGTAGAACGGAGACAGGCGAGCCCGAGGACCCGGCCCCACTCCGCCCGCCAGCCTCCTGGTGGTGTGAGCTGCCGGTGCCCCCGCGCAGGCCCGGGGACCCCGGAGGCGCCTGTGGGGGGAGCCCTGGCAGGACCCAGGCCGTGGTTATCCTCGGGCCCTCACGCGGCAGGGGCTGTCCTTGGTTTCCCCTGGGGCATTTCCTGGGCGCCTGCTGGGGCCCCTCTGCTCGGCTCTGGGGGCGGAGGGGCAGCTGCCCCTCTGGTACGGTCGCCCTGCAGTCAGGGACTCGCGTGGCTCCTGGGCCCCCCGCCCCCAACCCCTGCCCGCCCGCCATCTGCACAGTCGTCCCCCGGCCCCGCACAGTCCTGATCAGAGCCGGTGACGCCGCAGTACGGCTGGCTCACTCTGTGACTCAGGTGACGTTCCTGACCCACACGGGCCGAGAGACCTCTGAGGGGCGGCTACCGCCCAGCGCTAGGCATGACGCAGGGGGCGAGGCGGCAAGTGCTCAGTTTCCCGCGAGCCCGTCCAGGGCGGGGGGTCTGGGGGAGCACAGGCCCTGCAGGGACTCGGTCCCCTTCGCCCCTTGGAGGCCTGAACTCGGAGCGTCCCGTCCCCAGGCCCCGCGTCAGGGACAGGCCCGGCTCCTGAGGGACAAAGGGGCTTTTTTGTGAGCGCCTTTCTCAGCACTTTCTCCTCTTGGCTCCAAGCAGGACTCACAGCAGAGATTTCTGAACTCGGTGCCGCAGCCTCTTTAAAAGCGCAGCTTGTGCTGGGAAGGCCCTAGCCCAGCGGCTGTTTGTCCAGCGCTCAGCGGCCAGGGCCTCCGCAGCGGGCTCGCGAGCCCGGCCCCGTCCCGCAGGCGTGGAGGCCGCCGCCAAGGGGCACGCGAGGTGCGCGCTCCCCGCCCGGCACAGGGAGGCCGGGCTCCTCTGAAGGCCTTGGCAGACGTCCCCCAACGAGCGGCAACGCCAGAGCCGTCACCTCCCCAGCCCTCGCGCAGCCGCTGCGGCTTAGGACAGGGTAGCCCTCCCTCCCTGCGATCTCGCGTCTGAGCGCCGGAGGGAACTAGGTGTCCGGGAGCACTTGCCGTGGACAGAACGGACTCACTGAAGAACCGCCGCAGCCTCCAGGGGGCGCCGTCCGCACAGAGAAGCCCTTGCGCAGCCCTGGGAGGCTAACTGGGCGGACGGGCAGGCAGGTGCGGGCGCCACGGAGGGCGGGCCCGCCAGAGGCCTCCCAGGTGCCCACATGGACACCTGCCCCCTGAAGGGGAGATGGGGAGGCAGGGGCCCTGCTACGTGGGCCAGAGGAGGGGCCTGGGGCCACTGTCCTCCGCTGGCCCGTCCACCAGACACTCCCGCTCTTCCCCTTCCAAGGAGTTGAACGCACGCGCCTGCGTCTCTCAAGCCCCGGAGTCTGCCTGCCCCCACCCCCGCCGACTGCCCCGAGGAGCTGTGCTTGGCCCTCCTGAGGCCCGCTGCCCAGCGGCGCGGCCAACAGCGCAGGACTCCCCCCGGCGGGCTCCCTGGGGGTGGCGGAGGTTGGACGCAGGTCTGAGATGGAGGCGGTTAGGGATAAACAGTGAGAGTTTAGTCAGAGTAAGTGATGGCCTGAGCTTTGCCAAAGGGCTGAGCAGACAAAATCAGCTAAAGCTGCTGTGTCCTAAGGGAGTCACGGCTGCCCAATGGTGACAGCCAGGGCCCAGGAGACAAGGGACAGTCTGTCTCCTGGCCCAGGGGCACCGAGCGAGCTGCCAGAGCTCTGTGAAGGCCAAGGGAGGCCCGGGGCTCGAAGGCGTGAATGTCTAGAATGTGCAGGGCACACGCGCGTGGGGCTGCCGACACTCAAGCCCTGCGGCCTCGGTCCAGAAGGGACACGCCAATGGGCCGCCGGGCCACTGCGCCTGCTCCCCTTCCTTCACCTCGCTCGCCCCTTCCTGCCGAAGCCAAAGACGTGGGCGTAGAGGGGCCCCCAGGGACCAAGAGCCTCGTTACCAACGGGGAAGCGGAGGCCCGAGAAAGAAGGGAGTTGATCCGGCAGGACCGCAGGGACAAACGGGGGCCCGGGCTGGCCTGGACCCTCGTGACCCTCCTGGCAGTGACTGCGGGCCACACGGCTTCTTTCCGTCAAACTAAAAAAAATGACAACAGCCAACACAACTGTCCAGGGTGAATGAATCAAAGTTACAGCTTTTTCCTGTTAAATCAGTTAAACTTCCTGGCAGGCTGCAGGATTTTCGCAGTTTGTGAGACAGGAAACAGAACCACGGCTGCAGGGCAATCAGGGGTTGCCCGAGAATTCGCCCTGACCCCTGCCTGCTCCCCCACAGAACCCCCTAGGCCTGTCTGGGGACCCACTCAGGCACCTATAACAGCTGCTCGTGGATTCGCCTCAAAAACTCCGTGCCGCGACACCAGGCCTTGGGCGCCCTGGCCCACAGCCTGCGCCTCCACCCGGGGCCCAGGGACTGCACGCGAGGGTCTTCCGACACGACCGCCCGCGCCTCTCCCGCCTTGGCCCTTCGGGGACCTCGTCTCAGCGGCTGAAGCTCTCGGGACGGGGCCGTCACAGCGACAGACTGGCAAAGCCTGCCCGGGCCTGCAGCGAACACAGCGCCCTGGCAGGCGCCGCCAGGGCAGCGCCCCCCGCGAAGGCCTCTGCTCGCCCCAGGCAGGGGGGCTGCGGGGCCCTAGGGCGGGGTGCCCTGGTGAAGGGACGCCTTCCCCCCGAGGGGGGTTAGAACACCGACCTGAATTTGACGGCCGTTATGAATTGCTGAGCTGGGCCAATACGGAGCTCAAAAAAAAACCAAAAAAACAAAACTCCTTTAGAACCGAATCCTCTCTGACGTCGCTCTGCTCTGTAACAGGCCCGTGTCCGCACGTCCCACGCAGAAGGCGGCTCTTCCATGGGGCTGCCTTCCCCAGCCCCGCTTTCTCAGGCCTCAGGTCTGGGGACAGCGGCTGCTCTGACGGGAAGGCGGGTGAACACGAGGTCCCGCTCTGGCGGGGAGCCGGCAGCAGGGCCCCAGTGTCGGGTCCAGAGGGTGCGGCCCCTGCAGGCCTGCCCGACCCGGGGGTCTCGCGGGCCCTGGCTGTCACCTCAGGGCCCCGTGGCGCCGCGCACAGGAGGACGGCGCCCTGACGCCTCCCCGCAGGCCGGCACGCACACGTGCACACAGGACCTTGAGGGACTGGGGCACTCGGACACAAAAACGAGAGTCACCCTGCGAGTGACGGCATCGTCTCCTTTAATCGCAGTGGAGGCAGCGGCAGCCACGCTCGGAGAGGAGTGGGCCTCACCCGTGCGGCTGGCGCCGTCCCCCTCGGCGGCCGCCGCTCCGGCCCAGAGTCCCGCAGGTCCTCCCGCCGCGGCCGTCCCGGGGGCTGCGCCGCGTGCCACACGCCACGGCGCACAGGCCGGGCCGCCACCACGCGTCACTGGATGTCGTCGTCATCAAACAGGTCTTCAAAGTCTGCATGAGGGAACAAGACCACACGTTCACGGGGCGAGCAAGGTGAGCAAATGGGAAAAAACCAACTTCAGAATGAATCGCGTGGTCGTTTAGAATACGGAGAAAGCACCGAACCACCTGATCGGGCAAAGGGCTTCTCCCAGGACAGACTCCCGCCGTCCCCCAACGGGGCTCAGGGGCCTCCCGGCCCCACGGACGGTCAGCCCCACCAGCGCTGACCTCGCACCACCTGGCCTGGCCGTGGCCCTGCAGCTACTTGGGTCCCCAACCCCGGCCAACGCCCCACTCCCTTCAAACCTCTGCTTGGGTGTTGCCTCCTGGAACCATCAGGGCCCTCGTCAAGGGACGGTCCCTGCTGGCGCCCTGACACCACGCTGCTCTGCCAAACGGCGAGTGAAGAGGGTGAGCCTTGGTCCCGGCCAGACCCCACTGCCTGTGGGACGCGGGCCGTCGGGGCCTCGGTCAGCGGGCAGGGGAGACTCAGGAGAGGCCCCATCAGAAGCCCACATGGCCTCACAGTGGCGGCTCCTCGACATGGGACACTTGCCAGCTGACGGACAGGGGGACCTGTCGAGGGGCCCTCTGGCACGGCCCAGAGCCCTTCTGCGTCCCCCGCCCGTCTGACTCAGGGAGAAAGGGCCCGGAGCGGCCCCTGCAGCTCCACGCTCCCCTGACAGCTCTGCCTGGGCCCCTCAGACGCAGTCCGGTCGGGACCATGTCTGGAAACCCCGTGAACACTACCTCAATGAGTTTAAAGCCGCGAGCTGGCCAATCACGAGCCGGGCTCCAAAGAGGGTGTCAGAAGGTGCGAGAGGGCCGTGCGGGGTGGGGTGTCAAGGTCGCAGTCCTGCAGGGCCAAGCAGGAACAGCCCCGCACCCCCTCGGCTTGTTCCCCGCACCCTCTTGCTTAGAGTCAGGAGACATGCCGTTCAGTTCTCCAGGCTGGCTCAAGTGTCACTCCCCTGGTTCCCAAAGGCGCTGGTGACAGCCAGGGCGCCACCCCAGGGCTCCCTGGGAAGTCTGTCCTAATTAGGCAGCCTGGCTCTCCTTTCAGGAAACAACGGGCCAAAAAGGAGCCAGAAAACATACCCTGGACTCAGGCTTCCGAGGGTCTTTGGAGCACTGAAAACCAACCTGGCGAGGCGACACCCTAGCTGCCACTAACCAGTGACAGAAGTTCTTTGTAGTGGCAGCCACCCTGGATTAAAGGGGGTGATGAAGAGAGAAAACACCACTCAATTCCCCTAAGAAAACTGTCTTTCTAGTGATCATTCGAAACCTTGGTAAGAGTTAATGTAACGTGTAGAAGAAACCAGGCCTGAGAGACGTGAAGACTAAGAAAAGCAGCCTTGCTGAGGTGTGTGCGGGTCCCGGGAAAGCGTCCGCTGGCGTGGGGTGAGACCGCTCACACGCCCTTGTGCCCGGCACAGGGGTCCACGCGCCGAGGGGCCGTCTCAGGGCCGCAGAGCAGGGCCCGGGCCCAGGGCCAACCGGGAAAGGCGCAACGAGAAAGCCAGGTGGGTCCCCGCGCCCGGCACTGCAGGCCTCGGCCCAGACCCCCGTGCCTGAGGCTCAGACACAGCGGCTGGAATGCAAAGCTGGGAACAATTTCGTGCTATTTTTCCTTCCTGGATAACAGGGCCAACGGCCAATGCTGGCAGCCGCGCTGTCACGTCACACAAGCCGCCCTGTGTTCTGACTGTGGCACGGGGTCTGGGCTCCCCTGCCCCCCAATCCAAATCACATGCCGCCGACGCGCTGCGCAGCCTGCGGACAGACGCCCTAATTGAGGCCGGCGCCCGGCCGCACCCTCACCGTTGAAGAAGTCTGCGTGGACCGCCTTCTCGTTGGCTGCCAAGTCCATCAGGAGCCCCGTGCTGCCTCCGGCCTGCGGAAGGGGAGGTTGGGAGGTTCAGCCGCGGCTTCAGGGAGGACGGCCCTGCAGGGCCTGCGCCACTGCCCGCGGCAAGGTCGTCAGGGACAGGGACACGCAGAGCGGCGGTGAGGGAGTGCGTGTGGATGGAGGGGGACGTTTTCTGAATGTCGCTCAGGTCCGATGTTCCTAAATCCTTCCCCGCCTCTCGGAGAGAGCCCTCCACCGCCCTCAACGGCACTCCACCAGCCTCCAGCGCAGGGTCCGGAATCCCACTGGGCGCCGCCGGGGCCACAACGCTGAGCCCAAGGGCTGCCCGGCTCCATCCTCGGCTTCTGCTGAGAGCTACACCTCACCCGTGGGGATCGACCTGCGGATGGTGGCTGGGGCCTGCCCCTGCCACAACTCTGTCGTGGCAGCAACACCAAGCCGGGCCAGAGCCAGACACTGTGGTGAGCACAGCACCTGGAGGCTCCTCCTGCGTCGCAGGTCGGTTAGAGCAGAGCCCGGAGGCAGCGCCCCGCTCCACCCTGCCCTGCTGGCCCCGGGCCCCGCAGCACCCCAGCCACAGACACCCCCAGTTCTGCTGTGCCTTTCCTGGCTCATGTCTCCGAAGGCCAGGGTCCTCTGTCTCCTCCCTTCCCCATCACCGCAAGCCACGCAAGCTCCCCGCTCACGGACTGTGTGGCACTTGTCCCTACCTCCACCTCCAGGTGTTGTCTTCCCTCAGACCCCTTGCAGTCTCCCGTTCTCCAAACTCTCTGGGTCGGAGCCTATCAGTTCCCCCCAGTGGGTCCACGCAGCGCAGGGCAGTGACCTGAACACAGGCCCGAGCAGCCTGCGTCAGTGGAAGTCCCCTGAGTGGGTGTAGGGAGCCCAGCCACCCGCAGGGCTACCAGCCCCTGGAAGGGGCCAGCCACCTTCCCCAGCTCCCTTCCCTGGCCGCCCCCGCAGGCCCGATGGCGTTCCCGCCGGGCCTCCTGTCCGCACCCCGGTCCACCTGGCCCACGGCCCGCGCAGCGCGTGATTGCAGGCCGGCTCTCCGCCTCTGCTGGGCCGCCCGGAGCCCCGAGGGCGCCGCAGTCAGGGCCCCTCCACCTCTCCACTCGCGCGGGTGTGCAGCCGGCGCTCCGCCTGCCGGGGCCTGCGGGCGCGGGCTGCGGCCGCCCGCGCTTATGGAAAATGAAACTCTGACCTTGGGCAGCGGGCCCAGCGTTGGGAGCTGAGCCGGGCGGCAGACCAGGCCACCGCGATGCGGTGCCACGCGCGCGAGACCGCCTCGTACCCCGTATGATCGCACAACAGGGTCCCTGAGCAAAGCGTCCTGTCCACGGGCGGGATTACGTGCTGCCAAACACCTCCCCACCCCTCGCGGCTCCTGGTGCGGCGTGCGGCCTCGCTCCCGTCTCCCCGCCAGCCCACGGGACACGTGTCCGCACCACTGGCTGCCAGCGGAGCCCCGGCCTCCGTCACCCCGACGCCTGCTCGCGCGCCCTGCGGCCCCCGGCCCGCACCTCTCACCGGCCCGTCGCTGCTCTCACCCCAGAACCCCGGTCTCCGCTCCGCCCGGCCCGCAGCCGCCCGCCTCACCTCGTCCAGGTCCACGTAGGGCCCGGCGCCCTCGGGGAACATCTCGTCCACCGCAGGTTTCATTTCGCCCCACGGCGCTCGGGGCGTCCCTGGCCCACTTCCGGCCCGCCGGCCGCCTCTTCCGGTGCGCGCGCCGCCGCGGCAGGTCTAGACGCCGGAGGACCGCCGACTCTATGATTTTTCCCTGGCCGGCAGTGGGGACTCACCGGACTGGCCCTGGTCCTCGCTGAAGTGGCACGAGGGACGCTGCTCCGTGACACCGCGTGGCCCACGGCCACAGACAGGCCGGCCCAAACGGTCTTGCCCAGAGAGGTGCCCGAGAAATACTCACTGAAGAATGTGTAGGGACAACTGTAATAGCACAGTCAATAAAATATAACTTTAAAAAACAAAGAGAGACATTTAGGAAAAAAAAAGAAAGGGAATGGTCAACAGAGTGGAAAGGCAGCCCCAGAATGGGAGAAAAGATTTGCCAACCATGTGTCTGATTTTAGAAGTGATGGCTGGAATGTACAGAGAACTCAAATTCAACAACCACCCCATTCAGACGCGGGCCTAGGACGGGACAGACATTTCTCCACAGCGGACACCCGAACGACCCGCGACAAGATGCCCCACAGCGCTGACCACCAGGGAAGCGCAAACCTCGCCCGGTGAGGCCGCCTCCCCGTCGGGGCGGCTGCTGCCAGCACCCCAGAAAACAGCCCCCCCCCCCCCGGGTCGGCGAGGACGCGGGGACCCTGCGCACTGCTGGCGGGAGTGGAAGACAGGGCAGCTTCTGTGGGAGCTCCTCCAAAATTTAACATAGTCACCGTGCGATCCAGCAACCCCACTTCTGGGCCCACACCCCAGAGAGCGAAAAGCCAGGTCCTGAGACAATTTGTTCACCGTGTTCACAGCAGCATCAGACACAACAGCTTGAACACGGGAGCAACCCAGGTGTCCCTCGACATGGACGGTGGTCCCCCAGGCCATGGGACCTTCGGGGACAGTGACCAGGCTAGTGATTTTCCTGCAAGTACAATAGCTCCCCAGTGGAGTGTCAAGGGGTATAGGGGCTGAGGGCGTGGGGCCGGATGTGGAGGGGCCCCCCATGTGGTCTGACCGAGGGGAAACCAAGAGGGGTGCATAGAAGAGGACTGAGCCCGCAGTGTGCTGGGGTGCCCCGGGGGTGTGGGGAGTCCCAGCCACATCTGAGGCCTGAATCCTGGAGTGAGGCATCCCCGGGGCTGCGAGTGGGCAGCCTGCTACTTACTGGGGGTGAGGGGGGTCTGCTGAGGGTGACTTCTGGGGGGCCGTTTCTTCCTCTGAGAAAAGAGAGAGGGTCAGCTGGGCCCTTTGTGGCCCATACATGGAGCCCAGCTGTGTGTCCCAGGGCAGCTGTGAGTGCTGCTGACATCTGAGGGGGGCGTAGTTCTGGCCAGAGCACCGAGGGGTCTGCCCAGAAGGCACCCAGGGTTGCAATTCCTCTGGGCAGCCTGTGGAGAGCACAGTGCTTGTCCTAACGGGGGACGTGGGAACCCGATGGAAGGTAACTGTTCACACGGACACACACACACACACACACACACACACACACATACACGAATTGACAGGCAAGTCACTGTCATGGAGATTCTGCTGTCAGGGTGTCTTGTCTGGTATGTATGGTTGAGGCCCTGTTGTCCCCAGTGGGAACTTCAGACGAATGCCCATGTCCAGCTCTTGCAGGAACCAGGACTTTAAAGAAAATGGCAGTTAATATACAGAAACCAAATTCAAATTAGCTCAAAGGAGGGAAAGAGAGAGACAAAGAATATATTGGCTTTTCCCAAAAGGATCGGCTAGGCCAACCGAGTTTTCCTCTTGAGAGTTTAACCCAGGCCACGGGGAGAAAAGCCGCCAGTTGGTGCAGGCAGACCTGGGAGGGCCGGAGTGCGGGGTGCCCTCGGAGGCACCAGGCCCATGCTCGGGGCTCCGTGCCCCCCCCTTCCAGGTCCCTCACATCCCGGCCAGTGTCCGTGCTGGGCCTGGGGAGGCCCCCACCACCCCGCCTATCGCTGGGAGAGCTCTCACAATAGCCTCCTTTGAGATACTTTGTGTGAGGCTCCGAGCAGCAGCAGCCATTTGGTGGCCTGAAAGGGCCACCGGCCAAGCCTCTCAGACTGCACGTGGGACAGACCCCTGTCCCATCTCCGCCCCCCCAAATCGAACAGGTGACGCGCGTTTCAGCAAGCCCTGCGTATTTCTGATCGTGTGTAACCATTTCTGTAATTAGATGTTGGCCTGAACGCAGTATCTACCATTAAAGAGAGAGTACTTTCTACTATTTTATTTCAATCGAAACGCTGGTTAGATCAGTTTCCGATGGGGTGTGACCCGCAGGGTCACCGGCTCGCGCAGGGTCACACCTGCCGGGGAGGCCTTGCCGCCTGCACAGTGCCAACGCCTGTGCCCGAGGCTGGTGCCCAGATGCTGTCCTTCCCCTGCCCCTGGGGCGTGCAGGGCCGGCAGTCCGGGAAGCCAGCAGACAGCACACCCGGTCCCGGGCCCTCCTCCCTCCCGGGTGGCGCTCTGGCTGCCCTGGTGCAGACGGCCCTCGGGGGGAGGCCGCACGTGGGGGGCCGTCCGGGCAGAGCCTCCAGCCCAGAGCAGCTGCTGCGGGTCTGGCTGCTGCCCAGCTTAGCGGCCGGGGGCAAGGGCTCTGGGAGCGGCTGAGAAAAGAGAGAGGGTCAGCTGGGCCCTTTGTGGCCCATAGATGGAGCCCGGCTGTGTGTCTCGGGGCAGCTGTGGGTGCTTCTGAGGTCTGAGGGGGGACGTAGTTGTCATACCAGACAAGACACCCTGACACCTGTCTGGGGGCGCTCTGGATGGGACCCGGGTCCCGCCCACGAGCCGGGCAGTTACCTGCTGTCTCTGCCTCAGTTTCCCCACTGACACTCCGGGGGCCCCGCGAGGCCCCTCCCAGGGGCATCGTGAGGACCAGACGGGAGGGTGGCACAGAGCAGTGGGTCCTGACCAGCCGCCACTGTCTGATGGCACGTGTCCCCCCACAGGGACAAACGAGAGGGTCCATGCGTCCTGAGTGCAGCTGTGTCTTGAAAGAAAACCGCACGCACGTTGTTGTGCATTTTAAGTCAGGAGTTTATTGGTGGCCAGGGCACCGGGCGGGGACGCTCACTCCTCCTGATAGGGGACGTGGAAGCCCAGGGTGGTGCCCAGGGGGAAGTGAGCGAAGAAGGTGCGGGCCATGTCCTCGATCTGGGGGTAGGCGCCCAGCGTCTGGAAGTACTGCACGTAGTTCCAGAAGTCAGAAGTGGAGAAGGGCCAGTAGGGCATGGCCGGCGGCTCGGCGTACGGGTCTGAAAGACACGTGCGGCCTTGCTCGGGGCTGCTCACGGGGCGCCCCGGGCCCCCTCCACGGAGGCCCCCGCCCGCAGCGCCAGCGCAGCCGAGGGGCCCTCCCAGCTGGGGGCACAGCCCGGGTCGCCCGGGTCCTCCAAGGAGCGGCGGGGTGTGCCCTAGGGGGACACAGGAGGGGGACTGGGACAGGGGACGTCGGGCCACTCTCCTGGACCTACCGAGCAGGGAGGGGTCCCTGTGGGGGAGCGTGGGGGGTCCTGCTGGGATTTCACAGGAGGACACATGCCCCCAGCCCTGGAGTGTGGACGTCACGGTGCCCCACTGGGACCCGGCTGTGAGGGTGGGAACGCCGGTGTCCCCGAGCTCGGAGGGTCCCGCCACCACGCGGGGTCCGGCTCCCTCCTGCCTGGTGGGTCCCCAGGGGCCTGCGGTGCGTGGCCTGGGAAGGGGCTCCCCTCATCCTCTTGGAATAACAAGCAGCACCCACCCGTCCCTCTTCTCCCCCTGGACTCCCCCCTGCGCCCCCCCCCCCCCCCCCCCGGCAAGAGAAGAGCCGGGGCTGCAATACCTCCCTCGTCCTGCACTGGCCTGGCACCTGCAAGGGAAGAGGACAGCAGTCACCTGGGAGCAACCGGCCGGACCTGCCAGGCCCGGCCGCCCCCAGGCTGCTCACCGGTCAGAGGCCCCAGCAGCAGGCAGAGGGCCACCCCAGGCAGCAGGCAGGTCTTCCCCTTCCCCAGGGCCATCGCACCGACGGACCGACCCCTCGCTCAGGTCCACCTGCGGCGGGAGGAACCAGGAAAGTGAGGCCGCCTGCGCCTCGGGGCCCCAGCTCCTCCGGCCGCCCCCGAAGCAGCGGGCGGCTCCTGGAACACAGCCCCCGCGAGAAGACAAGCACGTTCGCAGCGACTTCCGTGTCGCAGCTGCGAGCCGCTGCTCCGAGGCCAAGCCTCATGCTCCGTCGGCCTGTTTGATTTTAACGGTTTAAGGAACTGCACCCCTCAGTCGCGGCCCCGTCCGGGGTTACCTGCAGCTCCCCCTCCGCCTCAGCCGCAGCCCCAGCCTGAAGGGCGTCTGCCGCCGGCACGCGGACTCCTCCTTTTAAACCAGGCCGGAGCCGTCACCTACGGCCACTGTCACACGGCCGCACTTCATCCCCTGCCAGAGCGCCGCGGGCTTCCGGGCCCCTGCTGGCAGCTCGGCCCCACGCGTCCACGCTTGGAATTTGATCCGAAGGTCAAATTGGGAGAAAAACATCTTTGCTCGGGCCGCTCAGGAGGGCTTCTGGGAGGAACTCAACATCGCCGCTCGTAGTGACTCCCTCTCCACAGCGGGGGAAGGCGCCCGAGTCTGCTATGGGGCTGAGGTCCCCCTTCCAGGAGCAGGGCGGTCACGGAGCCGCCCCCCCAGGGACAGAGAGGCCGGACGGGCCCCACAGGCCCAGCCGCGTGGCGCCGTGGGCAGGAAATGTGGGTGTCGGCTGACACTGTGCCTGCCGACCGGCACCTTCCGGCTTATGTGCCCACGGACTGAGCGTGGCGCTGGGAAGGCAGCCGTCCCAGGCAGCACCAGTGGCTCTGACTACACCCTGGGACGGCCCTGCCCCCAGGGTCCAAGTGCCCACTGGTCCGGGGCGCGTCCAGGGCGACCGTCCCACCGCCAGCGCGAGCCACCAGGGACGGCTTCCCGGGAGCCGGCACCTCTTCGCCCTGTGCTCCCCGCAGCCCTGTGGCCGGGGGCCGTGGTGAGGGGTGGCCAGCAGGCCTCAGCTGACAGGTCCGTCCCGCACACACCCTGGGCTCCCCAAGCTTCCAGGGACAGGACATGGCGTCTCAGCCCCCTTCTGCGTCGGCGGCCTTGTCAACGAGCCCCTTCCGGCCTCCGTGAACCCAGAGCGCCGGCCAGAGGGTCCAAGCCGACCCTTCGGGCTGACCCGATGCCCTGTCATCACCCGACCCCCGCATCTGCTCTCTGGGTTTCTGACGACGTAAATGGTCACACGGGTGACCCCAGGGGGTCCTATTTTTGTCCCTCGCCGTCTAAGTCACGTCTGAATTTCAGGATCTGATCGAGCAGCAGAGACCCGGCAGGCTTGGCTCTGAGGGGAGGCAGCAACCCCTGCGAAGCACTTTGGGGGAGACCATGCTGGCCCCCCAGACGGGGAGGAAGGACGGCTTCTCCTGGCAAAGGAGGCTCCGCAGAACTTAGGGGTTCAGGCCCCCAGCTTTATCAGAACAGCCCACATGTCCCCCTCCAAGTGAAAATAAAATGCCACGTACTGTATCTTTGTAACTGTTTATTCAGTGAAAAACTACAGCTGGAGAAATGAGCCACGAGCGGGGACCGGGTGAGGGGTGGCGCACTGGGAGCGTGAATGCTGTTTCTTCTTTCTGTATCTATTATCCTTCATTTAATACTTCGGCGCAGGGAAACACGCTTCTACAAAACGGCCACCGGTAGCCCCCCTGCGGTTTGGCACGCTGACCTGCTGCCCGGGGCCAAGCGCTCCGCTGTTGCACAGCCGCCGCCGCCCCCACGCCCACCCCACGCCCACCCCTCTTCTTGAGCCCGTCAAGCCGCTCCCAGTGGCCTGCACGCTACCCTCCGCCGCGCCACCTGGAGGTCTGCCCCGCCCCCGCCCCCGCCCGCGCCCGCGCCCCCGCCCGCGCCCCCGCCCCGCCCCGCCCCCCGCGGGACGGCCCCGCCCCCTCACGCGGCCGCCTGCCGCAGTGCGCCTGCCGCCTGCCGGGCTCCCCCTACCCAGCCTCCTCTTGTTCAGGTCCGGTGGGGACCTTGGAGCCGCGGGTCGCCCAGGGGTCCTGCGAACAGGCGGCTTCTGCTTCAGCAGGCTGGGGGGAGAGCGGGGACGCCGTGTCCCTAACGCGACCCAGCCCAGGCGACCCCTGAGCCCGCCGGGGCACACTCAGGAGAGAGACACGGGCAGAATCACCTCGGGGCCCCCCACCTCTCAGGGCCGAGTGCAGGGCAAGCCTGGGACTCTGCACTAGGGTGCTGACCTGCTGGCTGATTTTTCTTAACATTCTTTTAGAGATTTTATCTATTTAGAGAAAGAGGAAGGGAGAGAGAGAGGTAGAAACAGCAAGGAGGGGTTGCCTCTTGTGTGCCCCACAATGGGGGACCTGGCCCACAACCCAGGTGTGTGCCCCGACTGGGAATCAAACCGGCGCCCCTTTGCTTCGCAGGCCAGCGCTCAATCTGCTGAGCCACACCCGCCAGGGCTGAAGCCGAGGTTCTCGGCCCTGGCTGTATGTCGGGACCACATGCCGAGCGTTTAAACAGCGGGGATTTCCAGCCCGCAGCCTCCGAGGGTGAGATCCTGCTGCCCTGGGTCCAGGTGGGGTCTGGGTTGCTGGCGGTGAGATCTCCCAGGCGGTACTGCTCAGAAGCCTGCTTGTCTCCTGCTGCCTGGAGGCGAGTTTGGTGCTTCCCCCAGCCCCTGCCCCAGCCATCCCCTGCGCCCCCCACAGGACCCGCCCCGTGGACGCCCGGAGGCCTCTGAAGGTCCCACCTGCCTGGGTGGAAACAAGGTCTGCTCTTGGTGAACCGAGTGGACAAAGGCCACGCTATCTGCTTCCCTCCCGAGCTCACTGGGCAGAGAGAAGGGCAGGCAGCGGGCTTGGCCAGCAGTGGGGAAGGGAGCGAGCCAGGGCAGCTGCTGGGGACCCTTCCCTGCTCCGCTGCCCCACCTGCCCCACCTGCCCCATCTGCCGCATCTGCCCCAGGTGAGGCCTGGGGTGGGTGCTCCGCGGCCAGCGCGGCCGCGCTCCCATCGCGCGGTCTGGGGCGCCCCCTGCCGCCCGGCTCAGGAACACCGAGCGCAGCCTCCGGCTGGGGCCTCAGAGCACCCGCGCTGCTCCCAGCCTCACGTCTTCGGTCCCAGCAGGTGACTCCGCCCTCCTGCTCAACTCTGTGCCTGGCCGCTGCCTTTCCCAGTCTGTGGCTCCTTGAGTGTCTCGCAAAGCCCAGGTCGGAAACATCGCCCAAGCGGGGTGCACGGAACTGGGGTCAGGCCGCCCCGTGGGCATGAAAGCGAGGTCTCTGGCCGCTCAGGCCGCTGTCCCCGGGCCTCTGGGCAAGGCCTGGCTGAGCTGTCCTCGCCGCCGCCCCCCCGCCAGAACCTGCGGCCGACCCAGGTCTGCCCCTTGCCTCCCGCCAGTGAGGGACGCCTCTTACGGTCACCTGTTTTGTCCCCAAAGCCACAGCTTCCGATCGCACTTGTCATTTTAAGAAAAGGATTCGATTAAATGTCATGAAATCTAATGAACAGGAGCAGCGTTTTGGGATGAAAATCAAGTTACCTTGGAGAGGCTCACTTGAGGGGGACGTTGCTAGAAACTGTCATGTTCGGTGCGGGTGGAACAGCTCTGGAGGACTGGAACCAACATCGCAAGAGCCTGGGCTTCAGATCCTTCAGATCCGATCAATCCCCGCTTGGAAACCCACCCTGAGATCAAGGAGGGCCGGCCTCCCAGGAGTGGGCTCCAGGGGGCGCCATGCCCCCGACTCCACGAGGCTGGGCTGGCAGGTGCACCGAGCCGGCCGCAAAGGTGCAATGCAGGTTTCAAAGCTACGATGCCCGAACCCCATTGGATGCTTCTTTAAAATCATTCCTTTCTTCAGCCGATTTGTGAGAATTTCTGACCATCTCAGCCCACAAGAAGGCTTCCTGGAGCCGCCGAGATCCTGGCCCCGGGTGCAGTGGGGCTGGGCAGCGGGGGCCCCTCGGGGGTCTAGGGTGGACAGATAAAGTGCAGTGCACCCCATACTGAAAAGAACTCATTGATTACTTGAAATCCTAGTGAACTGGGCGCCTGCGTGTTAGTGTGGCGGGCCCAGCCGTTGTGTGCGGTCAGCGGGCCGGGCTGCAGTGCGAAGCGGCTCCCGCCCTGGGCGTGGCGCGGGTATGGGGGCTCCCCAAGGCGCTTCCTCCTGGGGCTGCAGGGCCGCGGTCGTCACGCGGGGCGGGCGGGAGAAGCGTTGGCGTTGGTGTGAGCTGTGACAGGGACTGGGAGCCTGCGATGCCCACGCTGGACGGGCTGTGCCCTCAGCCCCAAGGCTCCTGTGCACGGGGCCTTCCTTCTGCAGACGCCCCCTGAGCTGCCTGTCTCGCTTCCAGGAAGCGGCCCCCGGGGGTCCGGGCGGGAGGGTTAGTCCTCACAGGTGTGTGTTTCCACTGAATTCCCCAGGCCTCTGAGCGTCCCTATTGGACGCCTCTCTTCCGCACCCAGGGGCTGGGGCGCGGGGTCCAACCTCAGCAAGGCTGCCGGGGAAAAGCTTTCTCCTGGGAACTCCGGGGGCGGCCCGGGCTGGCTCGGAGCGGATGTGTTGAGGGGCGGCTGGGAGGGGGGCTGGCTGGGCGGGTGGGAAGGAGGGTCCTCTGAGGCGGACTTGGGGGTGCGTGTGCGGAGCTGGGGAAAGGGGGGCAGGGGACACGGCAGGACAGCCCCGGGACCACTTCAGAGGCTGGTCATCACAGTGTGTTAGTCAGCAATCCCCGGGGGAACAGAACCCGTGGGGCGCGTGCGTCCCCGGGAGGCAGGGAGAGTTGCCTGAGGACCTGGTCCGCGGGCCTGGGGAGGCCGGCAGGTTCGCGGTCGGCAGAGCAGGCTGGCGTCGACCCAGGAGCAGCCGAGGTGCGGGCGGGCGCCCCGAGAGCGCCGGGAGGCGGGGCTCCCTCTCCTGTGAGGCCTCAGCCTTTTCTCCCAACGCTGCAGCTGATTGGACA